CATCAACTCGCCTGCTTGCCTGCATGCCTGCTGGTTTGCTTGCTTCTTGAGGTGTGTTTACACACAGCAAAACGCACCAATCACACAAATGCAACTCGATGAGCTTTGGCAAATGTAGACACCCACGTCGCCACCACCCAGACCAAGATAAAGCATGTTCCCATCACGCCAGAAGGTTCCTGCAAGCCCAAGGCCCTCCTAATCGTTCCCCGCCCCCAACGGTAACCACTGATCTGATTTGTATCAACATAGATCAGTTTTGCCTTTTCCGGAACTTTTCCCTGGAACCACACAGTATAACGCATGGCCTCGCGTGTCTGGCTTCTCTCACTCGGCATGTTTTCGAGATGTATCCGTGTTGGTGTGCGTGTCGGCACTTCATTCCCTTTCACTCTGCGTAGGACCCCATGGTATGGACGGACCACAGTCCATTCACCCACTGTCGGCGGATGGACACTTCGGTGTTTCCAGTTTTTCAGCTCTTAGGAATAATGCTGCTGCCCACGTTGCATACAAGTCTTTGTAGGATCGTGTATTTTCGTTCTCGTGGGTAAACACCTGGGAGAGGGATTTCTGGGTTGCATGGTGAGTACATGTCTAACTTTATAGGAAACTGCCCACGCGGTTTCCAAAGTGGCCGCGCCATTTTGCATTGCCACCAGCGACGCATGCGCATTCTAGCTTCTGCGCATGCTCACCAGCACTGGGCTTCCTAATTTTAGTCCTCTGGTGAGTGCAAAGGGGCAGCTCACGTGGTCTTCGTTTGCATTTCCCGGACTGCTGAGGATCCTCTGAGCATCTTTGGCAAGCCGCCTTCCCGGCAGCTCCACCTGGAGTCTGACCAGGCCCTGGAGACGCGACATGGCTCAACCCCAACTCAGGACTCTACTCACCCCCCGCCCAGCCCCGACCTCCTCCTTCCACGGCTTCCCCGGACACCCAGTGGCGCCCCCTTCAGGACAGCCGCCCGAGTCAGAAGCCTTCTTCCCAACTGTCTCTGAAGCACACGCCTTCTTTGCACCCTGCTCCGGCCCAGGCGCCGTCCCCCTCACGCAGCCTCGCCCTCCTCCCTGCAGCGGCTCCAGCTCCTTCCGGCCACGCCCGCTCTGTCCATTCCCCCAGTGCCTGCTCCCTGATGCCTGGAACGTTCTTCCCTTTCCCCCCAGCCTCCCGAGTCAACAACTCTGCATCCTTCGGGTCTCAACCACCATGCTCCTGGCCCACCCCCCACCCCCAGGTCTGGTCCTGGGCCACATGCCCCCAACCCCCAGCACCTCTCCTCTGAGTTCTGGGCCCAGCCGTGATCTCCTGGGGGATCATTTGGTTAATCTGTCCCCTCTCTAGACTATGAACCCCAAAGGCCATTGCAAGGCCTGTCCCGCTCACGTGGCACCCCAAGTCCTAGAGTGGTACCTGGCACGTTCTATAACAGTCTGTGGCTTGGTGGAGTGGCAGATGGGGGTGGGGTCTGGGGGAAGAATCTGGGGAGCCCCTGCCCAGTTCAGCTGCTGGATGGTGGCACCCTCAGCCTGTAAGAGACAGGGGACCTGGCGCAGACTTGGCCCGCTGCCCCCGGGCCCCCTATTTCCTGTCTGCTCTCCTTCCTCCCCGGCAGCAGAGCTGAAGTCAGCAGTGTGCGGTTTCCTAGCATTGCAACCTGCGGGAGCAAGTAGTTCCGCTTTCTGAACCTCAGTTTCCCCAGCAGGAAAATGGGACAGTCATTTCACCCATGTCATGTGGTCGTTGTGAGGCCTAAATGAAATAATGCAGATAAAGTGTGTGACAAGGTGCCAGGCATGCAGTAAGTGCTCAATAAATGCCAGCTCCTTGCTCCCGGCCATGTCTCTTTGTCCTAGGCCCCAGCTCTGCTGTGTCCTGCTCTCTGTAAGGAACAGTGCCTTCCCTTAGCAGTCTGGAGCCACCAAGGGTGACTAATGGGAGACTTCCAGGCACCAGGGCAGGTCAGCAAGGGTGAGACGTTGGGATGTGGGATTCCCCCAGAACCCCACCATGATCTCAAGGACACAGCCATGAGAACATGACTTGCAGTCCTGGGTTTCAATCTCGGATCCCCATGCACGATCTGGGGCAGGTGACTTTGCCTCTCTGAACCTCGGTTTCCTCTTCTGTAAAAAGGAGCGAATGCTAGCACCTTCTTGGAAGGCCGTCGGGGAGATTCACAGAGATACCGCAGATGCGTGTGCTAGGGCTGTGCTTGCTGGAGGGATGAGTGAGGCGATTCAGGCTGGGGACATTCAAGGGCATGGGAGGTCAGGCAGGCGGAAGGGCACAGTGGTGCCTGCCTGTGAGAGCTAATCAGCAAATTTTGAGAATTTTGTGAATCAGTTGTTTAATAAATGAAATTCTATGATGTTAAAACCCAAGGCCATCAGTGCTCAAAACTCACCACCGCCCAGTGATTTTACTACATTCTACTATCAGCTCTGCCCTTGCGGTTATTTACATCGACCGTATCCTCTACCTTACAATGGTTGGGAGCTCCAAATCACCGGGGGAGCATGCATACGGAAGAAACTGGCAAATACTATAAATCAGGGATGCTTTTGATTGGGAGCCGGTTGTTAATATTCACCAGCTCTCCACGAGGTTCGGAGCTCCTTCCTGGCTAAAGCATTCCTCCTTGCATGAAGGAGGAATCAAAGTCTGGACAGAGGGTGGCTAAAGGATTCCTCCTTCATCCTCAAAGTCTGGACAGAGGGAAGCGCCAGGCATCCACCGGCCCTAAGAGCTGGCGGCGAGCGCCCCCTGGTGGCTGCTTCCTGCACCCAGCATCACCGACGCTGCACTGATGTCACACTTGGGGAGAGAGCTGTGCATGGAAAACCAGGCTCGTGCAGTCACACAGCGTCCTTGAACTGAGGCACTCTGGAAGCCCTCAGGGCATAGGGGAGAGCCCCTAGAAGGCCAGGGTGACAAGACCCCTGGGGAACCTCTCAGATGTCCCCAGGTCCTTCAGCCTCTGGGGCCACAGCCCCGAGCTGTGGAGCCCTCAGCTCCTCTCCTGTGATTTTTCTGATTCCCCCCAAAAGGGGAGGTGACCCATCAGCCTGCCTTCCCCAGGGCTGGCTGCCCCAGCCCACGTGGACACTCCTGGCCTCTGCCATGAGCACCTCCCAAAGCACCTCGAACACACCTTCCGTGTGTGTATCAGTTGTTCTAGAAGTTCGGGGGCAGGAGACAGACATCAGCACTTCCAGACACGTGGGGGCCAACTCCCCACGCCTCCCGCCGCAGTCTCCACCGGCCCCTGCCACCTGCCAGGTTCTTTCCAGCCTGTCCCCGGTCTCCCCGCTCTGCCCCCACCCCGTCTCCCAAGCTGCGCCAACACCTCCCAGGCTCAGCGCTCTCTTAGAACTCTGCCTCCGCAGGCTGCACCCTGGGGTGGGGGCCCTTCACTGCCAAGGCGGCCACTGGAGGCATTTTTCTAGAACAAAACAATTCTCCCCTGAGATAAATGTTCCTCCTCTCCTAGAAGGTAGAACAGCATATTTTAAGCAGCAGTTTTCTTCTCTCTATGGAAACCACTAGAAGGTATTCAGAGGCCAAAGGTCAAGAGTTTGATCCTGTCTCATCCACTATCCATGGGCTGGTCGCCTCACCTCTCCACGCCTCTGTCCTCTGCTCTGACCCTGCTGGGGTCAGTGTGGGTTTTGAATGAGGTAACACAAGCACGTGGTAAGTGCTGCTTAAATAGGGAGGCCAACCCTCCGGGTTTGCTGGGGCTGAGTTTCTCGGGATGTGGGACTTTCAGTGCCCCTGCCAGGAAAGTCCCGGGCAAACTGGGATGACTGGTCACCCTATGCTTAGATCAGGGGTCAGCAAACTGGCAGAGCTGGGTCCGGCCTGCAGCCCTGTTGTAAATAACGTTTTATTAGGACATAGCCACACCCATTCGTTCAGAACGTATTGCCGATGGCCGCTTTCACACTGCAAGGACAGAGTTGAGAAGCAACCACAGAGGCCGTATGGCCCACGAAGCCTCAAATATTTACTGCCTGGCCCTTTAAGAAAGGGGCTGCCGGCCCCAAACTTTCCCACCATTTGACGGCAAGTTGCACAAAAGCCGCGGGGGCTGCAGCTGCGCAGAAGTGGCGCCTGGGTGTTAAAGAGAGATAAGGCCTATGTGAAAAGGGGAGGTCGGGTGGGCTTCCGGGGGTGACAGAGAGCCTCTGCGTCACCAGACTGCACTCAGCCTCCCAGATCTCCTGGTTCCATCCGTGCACTTCCCCGTAAAATCCTGCTTTCACGAGAACTCTGCCAAGTCAGCTTAGCAAGAACTCCACGCCCTGGATATCTGGTCACCCTCAATGTTTAATGGGGTTCCTCCTCCTCCACCCCCCGCCCGGGGATGTCTAGTCACCCTGGCCTGTCTTTAGCAAGAATGCTCTTGTTAGGTCGGTTTAGCCAGAATTCCCCCGACCCCTGACGTTTGCTCTCGGTACTTTTCCATCCCCTGCCTCCGCCTGCTCCTTGGCCAGCATTCCCACTCGCCCGGCGGTTCGCAGAGTCGAGTCCCACCTGTCTCCAGCCCCCGCCACCCCCGAACGAAGTCTTCCTTACCGTGCTTTAGCAGGCGTCATTGGACTACGTTTCTCTTTAACGGGGGGATGCCATTGATGTTTACAGGGGTATTAGTCTGAGATTTGGGGGGAAGCAAATTCTGTTGGTCAAAAAGGGGTCATGGGGGGAGTTGAACAGAGCGGTCACCAGGGGGCCAGCCTTCCCTTTGTCCCCCACAGCCTGAAGCTTTTCCAGGCCACCCAAGGATATACCAAGACGCCTCTGCTGCCCAAGAGGTGGTACAGAATTCAACCTAACAGCACGTGAAGGGGGCTTCCCAAGGGGCCTGGGGCTGAAGGCAAATGGTGAGGACCGACACCCCATCCTGTGCTGAGGGATGGAGAGTTCCAGGAAGGCTGCCTGGAGGAGACAGCCTTCCTACCTTGAAGAAGGCAACCAGCACGTGTTCATCACGCATTTATTGAGTGCCCGGCCCTGGGCCAGGCAGGGGGATGATGCAGTGAACCAGGCGGAACCCACCCTGAAAAGTGGCCACAGGGGAAGGTGAGCGAGGACAGTGGGGGCTATTCTGCCACCAGAGGGAAGCTCATTGGTCCACACAGTCCCAAAGAAAGTTCTCTGGGCTCTCCGAACCCACCCCAGCCCTCACAGTCTGAGGCCTCACCCTGGGCTCCCGAAAATCTGCAGAGCAGCAGGCAATGGCCTCAGGAATCTGTCACTCTTCAGCACCCCTCCCCGACCTTCCAAAAAAGGTCCGCTTCCTGTTTGGTGACCATGGCAACCAGAAGAAAATGGCGATGAGTGGGGTGGAGGAACCCAGTCTTCCTTGGGCCTATGGGGATGAGACTCCAGTGGCCTGGAGAAAGGAGGGTGGCAGTGGGAGACGTCAGATGGGGACAGGAAGGAGAGAGTCTCTCTGGGCCACATGGCCACTGCCCACGGGCTGCAGCAGGAGGCAGCCGGGCTCCCCTGGAGGCAGGAGGGAGGAGGAGGTGGTTCCACTTGCTGGTCCTGCTTGGCCACAGGACTATGGCTACTCTTGGTCTTGTCTGGGGCAGCCCAGGGTCCCTTCCCTACAGATCCCCATCCCTAGGGGTCTCCGAGGAACCCAGACCCATGGAATGGAGGTCTGGGTGCTCAGTGGTGGTCCGGGTGGGCCAGGGAGGGAGTGAGGCAGCCGGCCAGGGCCTTGCCCAGGCAAACACGGGCAGGGGGTGCTAAGGGAGGAAGCTGTGCAGGGTGAGGTCATCCCCCTCACGGTCCTCCCCGGGCTCCGGCATCAGGCCTTCGCTCTTGGCCTTGGGCAGGCCCCCGTTGGCTGTGGCGGGGCGCCCCTCGACCCCATCAGGCAGCAGGGATGAAATGCAGACCATCTCAGTGGGGGAGTAATTCCGCACAGGGTATGTGTGGTTCTTGCGGGAGAGGCGGACAGCCAGCACCACAGTGCACACGAGGAAGATGGTGGCCACCAGGGCCAGGATGAGGATGGCTAGCAGGCACTGCTTCACGGGGATGTAGTTGGGGGGCCCTGTGGAGGTGGGGGCCATGAAGATCCCAGGGGGGATAGTTCGCCCATTTTTCATGTTGGTGTCGGCAGACGGATTGCTAGCTGCCCCGGGGATGCCCTTCATGGTGGCTAACTCCATGGACAGGGCCACCAAGGGAGGGGTTTCTGTGGACAGGGCCTCCATGGCAGTGAGTGCCGTGGACAGGGTCTCTGTGGCAGTGGGTTCCACGGACAGGGCCCCCATGACGGTGAGTTCTGTGGTCATGGCCTCTGTGGTGGTGGGTTCTGTGGTCAGGACCTCCGTGACGGTGAGTTCTGTGGTCAGGGCCTCCGTGGCAGGGAGTTCTGTGGTCAGGGCCTCCGTGGCGGTGGGTTCTGTGGTCAGGGCCTCCGTGGCAGGGGGTTCTGTGGTCAGGGCCTCCGTGGCAGGGGGTTCTGTGGTCCGTGGCGGTGGGTTCTGTGGTCAGGGCCTCCGTGGCAGGGGGTTCTGTGGTCGGGGCCTCCGTGGCAGGGGGTTCTGTGGTCGGGGCCTCCGTGGCGGTGGGTTCTGTGGTCAGGGCCTCCGTGGTAGGGGGTTCTGTGGTCGGGGCCTCCGTGGCAGGGGGTTCTGTGGACGGGGCCTCTGTGGCTGCTGGCTGAGTGGTCTGTGCCTCCATGGTGGCTGGCCCCGTGGACAGAGCCCCCTTGTTGGATGGAACACCCATGATGGAAATGTTCACAGTGGCCGGTTCTGTGACCAGAGGGTCCAGTGTGACTGGAATCCACCGCGTGGCCAATTCTGTGCTCAGATTCCCCATGGCTGCCCCTCCTGTGTCCAGGCCAGCAGGGTCCCTTGTAGCAGCCTCCACAGTGGCAGGCTCAGGGCTTCCAGGCTCTGCAGAACCTCTCTGCTCTGAGGTTCCGGTCACAACACTGATGTTATCTGCAAGCATTTCTGGAGGATCTGTGCCTTCTGCTTCATAGTCGTCATAATCCTTCTCGTCCCTGAACACCTGTCTCCGCCCCCGGGCAAGCAGGGGGCCTAAGACTTTCCTGTCTCCATCTGCCTGGATGTCCCCCAGCGGGAAGCTGCTGCCAGAGCCCAGCAGAGTCAGCAGCAGGAGGAGTCGCAGAGGCATGGCACCTGGGGGGAGACACAGGCAGAGGGGTGTCAGGACAGCTTCACTCCAAGCCCACCGAGCACCCTCGACTGCGGCCCTGGGCTGTCGCAGCTTGGAGCCTGTCTGGTCTGGGGCAGGCACTGTGGCTCTGGGTGTCCCTACGGCCCAGCCTGTGCCCAGCACAGACAAGCCCCTCAGCCAGCAGCAGCCATGATGATTACTTACCAGCACGAATTGAGCTTATCCAGGAGGGCCCTTTAACTTCCTCTGTATGTCACACAGAAACTCCTTATCATTTTTGGTTAAAACATTTTATTTGTGGGTAAGACAACCCATTGGGGTGTAGAAAGAAAATATTAGAGCTTGTGGTTATGTTGACTCTTTATGTCACACCTTCTTAAATCCTGTTTCTGTATATATTTATATCATAGGAGTACAGTCCCGTACACAATTCATGAATAGATCAATTGCCCACCGCTGTTGGCCACAAGTGGAAGAGCTTGGAAACCACAGACCTACTGGATAAAACTGCTTGTTGGACCTTTGAGGTCTCTGGGAGTCTGATTCTGATTGCCGCTCCCTCCCCCTGCCCCCTGCCTCCACATCCCTCTGTTTCCCCTCCCTGTCTTGGCTCTCCCCCTCCATAGCCCTTGCCCATCCTTGGAGTGTCAGTTTGTCTCATTCTCCCTCAGGTTTGGGACCAAACCCATTGTGTTTGTCACTGAGGGACAAACACAGTGGGTTTGGTCCCATTCCCGTTGGTGGTGTCCTTGCTTGCACAATGGGAATGACAGCACCTACCTCGTAGGCTACTGTGAGGATAAAATGAAGCGATATATGCAAAGCCCTTAGCACTTGGTTTGCAGGGCAAACTTTCAGCAAAGGTCGGCTGCGTTAGTTCTTTCAGTCAAACTGCCCCGTAAGTCCGCAAGGGCCCAGAGCCATTAACTGCACTCTGGCCGGGAGAAAACTCAACTCTTTTCAGAACAGCCCTGCCCTCAGGGAGCTTATACTCATTGCATTTGCCTGTGGGCAGGACCACCACTGTCCTCCCTAAAAGGTAGCCAGAAAGGACAGCGCCTCTCACCTCGGCTATCTCATTGATCTTTCTTTGTGGCATTGTGAACACCATGCTTTGTTTTCTCTCTCTCCTCTTATGCTCCCCCTGGCATTGGCTGGTATTTATAGGACTAAAAATCCCACAATGAGGATCCTGGGGTGAGTGTCAGCTGTGATCTGGGGCAGCATTCAGGTACTCCTGGCTTCCCTGGCAGCGCACAACCCCTAGAACGTGTCTGGCGCAGAGTGGGCATTCAAAAACAGCACCTGGACGATTTCCAGTACCTTTCTTTGTACTTCATTCATACGATTTGGAGCAAAGAGCCGTTGCTTCTCATTCCTTGGATGACTATAACTTACTCACGGGCCCCTCTGCTTCCAGCCTCTTTCATACATTAGTTAGAATTATGTTGGTTTCTGCAATGCAAATCTGATCACATCTTAAAACAATTTCTTACACCAAACTTGACGGTATTTGCACCAGACACATCTAGCCCTCACAATTATCCCTGTTTTATAGAGGAGGAGACTGAAGGTCAGAGATGTGAAGCGACTTGCCCAAACACACACAGCTGATGAGTGGCTAAGATCAGATTGGAACCCAGTGAGGGTTCAGGAAGGGTTTATGGAGAGACCTCACCTAGTTGAAGGGACAAAAGCCTGGGGTCGGGGATTTAGGTAGGAGAGGAAGGGCAAAGTAAGAAAAAGGAGGAGCTCTGGGCTATGTGCCCTAGAAAAGTCGGCCCATATGTACCAGGTGCCACGCAGAGCACAGGACTGAACGCACAGACTATGCAAGCAGACAAAAGGATGTTCGAATCCCAGCTCTGTGTCTTACAAGCTGTATGACCTGGAGACAGATCCTGTCTCCCTGCGCTTCAGTTTTCCCATCTGTAAAATGGGGATAAAAATCAGTACCTAGGCCGGGTGCGGTGGCTCACGCCTGTAATCCTAGCACTCTGGGAGGCCGAGGCGGGCAGATTGCTCAAGGTCAGGAGTTCGAGACCAGCCTGAGCAAGAGCGAGACCCTGTCTCTACTAAAAATAGAAATAAATTAATCGGACAACTAAAAATATATAGAAAAAATTAGCCGGGCATGGTGGCGCACACTTGTAGTCCCAGCTACTCGGGAGGCTGAGGCAGGAGGATCGCTTGAGCCCAGGAGTTTGAGGTTGCTGTGAACTAGGATGATTCCACAGCACTCTAGCCCGGGCAACAGAGCCAGACTCTGTCTTAAAAAAAGAAAAATCAGTACCTATCCCATAGGGCTGTCAAGAGAACACAATGAGATGACGGATTCAAAGTTCCAGGCTCACAGTAGGTGCTTAATAAATGTGATGCATTCATGTGTGGGCACACACATGCGCCTACACACACACACCCCCTTTGCCTCCCAATCTGCCTACGGCAGAGTTTCTTTGCATACGGGGTAGAGTTCCTACTTGGGGGAAGAATACATGGCCCAACTCTGTTGCCTGTTACCTGGGGGTGGAGGACTTCAGGAAGAAGCCACCAGCTCAGAGACATATTTTGTAATTATGAAAACAGTGGCACCACCCCGCCCAACACACACACACCTTGGGCAGTTCTCGGTTCTTGGAAGGCACAGCCCTCAGCCACTTCCTGGAAGCCGAGAGGGAGGGGGCAAGAACGCAAGGCCTGGCCCTCCCGTTCCTGGGCTGGCGGGAGGCATCTTGGTAAGTCCGGGCCTGACTTTCTGCAGCCCAGAGGCTGGGAGAATACCATGGAAGGGGGCTGGGGTCGTGTTCTTAAGGTGAGTTATCACTGTCGGCTGTCCCCTCCCCAACACCCATCCTCCAAGTCCCCTGCATGCAGAGACAGCCGGAGGTGGAGGAGGGAGCACGAGCCTGAATCCCACGTTTACCTCCGCTTCGCAGGTGTGTGACCTTGAGCAGGTGACTTCACCCTCTCCAAGCCTCAGTTTCCTCATCTGTAAAATGGGCCATATAGCTTCAAAGAATGGTCATGAGAATTGAATGAGATGCTGCGTGGAAGGTCCCAGACACTGGCTTCCAGCAGGGGCGTATTTTATCTGGGAGATGCTCTCTGGGGCTGGGGACAGAGGAGCAGAGGAGAGGGAGGCCTTGGACTCAGGGAGGGTATGGAGATGGCGACCTCCCTACCTCCCCCGTGGGCCTCTGCGAAAGCAGACGGCTACTCGTCTGTTGACGTATGACATGGTGCACCGGGAAAGCCCAAGTCTCCCTCCCTGGGCCTGTTCAGAGTGACCAGCTTGTCCCAGTGGTTCCCAGTGTTAGTACTGAAAAGTCCCTCAGTCCCAGGCAAACAAGGGCAGGGGGCTGGTCACCCCAGCCTGGTCCCTGCCATCCCATGGGCTTCAAGAGGAAGGGGCCATGGAGCCAGGCCACAGCTGCGCAGCCATCAGCCCATTTGACAGGAAGAAAACCTGAGGCTCTAAGAGATGCCGTGACTCAGCCGAGGCCAGGCAGGGAGAAAGCGCAGGAGCGTAGTATATGCTCTGCGCACGGCAGGTGGGAAAAATCCCTTTAATATTGGATCCAATAAATGTATTGTTCTACAGTGGAAACGACTTATTAGAAAGCCCCCACTGTGAGCGGGTTAATTCACTGTCACCCTGTGGGCGGCCTCCTTCCCCTTCCCCCTGTGAAGCACTGGTTGTTAGGGCTCCCATTATACAGATGAGGGAAGCAAGGCCAGAGCAGCGGAGTCACCTCCGGGCACCCGCCTTCCGCCTCTCCTCTCCCCAGAAGGCAGAAACACAATCACATACCATGGGAGCAGGGGCCAGGGCAGGGCCCTGAGGGAGGGGTACGAAGTGGCCACATCCTATTTGTCTTGACACTTGCCTAACAGTAGATCAGAGGCTGCCCGTTTCCTGTCTTTCACCCTAAAACCAGGTTGCCTCTGCTCCGGGCCCCGCCCAGGCATGCGGAGGAACAGGCTGCCAGGGGACCCCACCCCAGCTCCAGAGACTACACCCTGTGGCCTCCCTGAGCTGCTTAGGAAAGAAACCCCTGGAACTCCAAGAAGCTCGGGACCTTCCGTTTGGAATCTGGAAACCCAGGCATCCCAGTGTGCAAGATCTTGCAGTCTCCGAATCCAAAAGACCAAGCATCTCAGGGTTTGGGTTAAGCAGCCGCCGAGAGAAGGAAAGGCTCCAAATCAACAAGTAGGTCCAACTGAGGCACAAGTGTCCCCCGGATCCCACTGCAGATCTAAGTCCTGGTAGATAGGACAGTCCCTGCCCTGACTAGGGAGTCCCATCCACCGGGATCAATCCTAGCTCTGTCTCTTACAAGCTGTGTGATCTTAGGCGACTCAAATCACCTCTCTGAGCCTTGGGTTCCTCATCTGGGATACAAGGACAGTAGTAGCACCTGCTCCTCATGGGGCTATTGTGGGTTGAAGTAAGATGGTCCAGGTAGAATGTTGAGCACGCAGTAAGTGCTCGATAAATGCAAGCGGTTGTCCGTATTCTGCATTTAGGGCAGGGGACTCCCTGTTAACCATTGCCACGTCCTGGAAAAATCCCCAACCTGAAACGGGCTTTGACACACCTCTGACCTTCTTAGAGAGGGCAGAGGGCAGGGAGCCCTAGGAAACTGTCTCCGTTGTAAGCCCGGGGTGCCATCCACAGCCTCGGCCTCCTCCGGTTTGTAAATCACACCTACGGAGTGCAGACAATACACCAGGCACTGTTCTAAGAGCTGTATAAGAATTATGGGCTTGGCTAATCCTAGCTCTCTGGGAGACCGTGGTGGGCGGATTGTTTGAGCTCAGGAGTTCGAAACCAGCCTGAGCAAGAGCGAGACCCCCGTCTCCACTAAAAATAGAAAGAAATTAATCGGACAACTAAAAATACATAGAAAAAATGAGCCGGGCATGGTGGCGCATGCCTGTAGTCCCAGCTACTCAGGAGGCTGAGGCACAAGAATTGCTTGAGCCCAGGAGTTTGAGGTTGCTGTGAGCTAGGATGATGCCACGGCACTCTAGCCTGGGCAACACAGTGAGACTCTGTCTCAAAAAAAAAAAAAGAATTATGGGCTCACTTGGGGCCCACAGCCCCCTCAAAAGGATGGGTACCATTATTAACCCCGTGGTGCCTGGCATCACTCAGCTAAGAGGACGGGAACAGGAACTTGAACCCGGGAAATTTCCCTCCAGAGCCCACCTCAGTCACGGCTCCACCATAGCTTGTGAACAAGGCCGTGTCCATTCTCAGGACACAGAGAAATGCCACCTCTTCCCAGAAGCCATCCCGGATTGCTCCAAGCACAACTAATTGACTCCCACAGTTTAAACCCTTTCTTTCATTCTCTCTCTCCTTCTCTCTCTCTCTCTCTCTCTCTGAGAAACAGGGTCTCACTATGTTGCCCCATTGCCCAGGCTGGCCTCAAACTCCTGGCCTTAAATGATCCCCTCACCTCAGCCTCTCAAGCAGCTGGGACCCCAGGTATACGCCACTGTGTCCAGCTGTTTAAACCTGTTCTGATGTTGGTTTACTTTCTAAAAATGTATTCACATTGGCCCATAAACTTCCAGAGGACAGGAGCCACAGCTGTTTTGCTGATCATGCCACATGCCCAGGACAGGCACACAGGGGTCCTTGTGCACACACCTCTCAAGACGCTGGCCCCCTTGGCTTGCAGGCACTGCCAGACCTCCAGCTCTTGGAGGGCAGGGTCTCCTGGCATCCCCAGGGCTCGTTCAGCGCCGCTGCAGGAGTGGACCCATGACTGAGGGAGGGTGACGGGCACAGACCTGCAGGGGACACGCCGTCTTCAGATATTTTGAACCATGTTCATCGGCTGACACGCCCCCACCTTTTTCCATCCTCTACCCCCATCCCTATCAAGGAGCCTCTTTAGACAGTTTTTTCCTAATTACCAACCCTCCTCGTGAAATGATAACATCGCAGATATGCCGTGTCCCGCTTACTGTTCTGTGGCCCTTTGCAGAGCCACAAACCCTAGTGTTAGCTGAGACTTTTTTGTGCCCCCTGCCAAGAACCAAGTTTCACCTGCTGGAACCCAAATTTGCTGGCCTGCTACAGAGGAGGTGAGGCACTCTGCACAAATGCATTCAGTGACACCCACACCTGGTTTTAGTTTAACCGCAGATGGTTCTATGAAGCCCTCAGTGTAGACAGACGGACACACGCACGCACGAACACCGGCCAGCCACCTCCTGTTCAAGTTCAGCAAAGGAGACCGGGAGACCCAGGCCTGGGGTTACCGCGGGCTCCACGAGCTCCTGCAGCCAGAGAGGGCCATGTCGCTGTCAGAGCGCTGCCACACCCAGACACTCCGCCGCAGGCAGCAGCTTCTCCCCGCGAGCTCGGTTTTCTCGCCTGCAAAAGGGGCTCTCACTGCCCACCCTCTAGGGTTCTCGGATGACTCTCCAGCCCCTCTCGGAGCCCTGCTCTGGCCCCTTCTGCTTTCTGGGTTCAACTCACTGGCTGCCGGCCAGGCCTGGTGAGGAGGCATCACTGCACAGGGTGCGGCCGCCCAGGCGACGCCCAGGGGAAGCCACGCTGGGGCCTGCCATCTGAGGGCCACCTCCTGAGCCCCTGCCCGCTGAGAGGCCCGCCCTGGAGGGCTTGAAGTCAGAGATGGGAAAGGGAAGAAAACAGAGGCCAGGAAAGAGGAAGAGAATTCCAGGCAACAGAAGCCCGATCTACGGGTGGGTGGGTGGGTGGGTGTGTGTGTGTGTGTGTCGGGGCAGTGACTTTAGCCACGAGCCCCTGCCATTCTCCTAAAGGGGTATAAATGCCCTGAAAATGCCCCAAATACAAATTAACAAGATTCCCGTTATTTTCTTTTGCTAACAATAGTATCCTAATTCTAATATTTTAATAATTTGCCACAAAGTGTCATTTTCTCAATCTTATAAAAAATGGAAAGAACGCATCTTTGAAAACAGTATTTCCACATATGTGGCTTCAAGACAAATCCTGGGCTCCTCTTCCTTTCTGGAATCTTCCAGACCGAATCTCACCTCTGCCCCTCAGCAAATCCCTTCACCTCGGTGTCCTTGCTTCCCACCCATGAAAGGGGAGGGTAGGATAATTTCTAGGGAAGCGCCCACGATTTCTCTGATTTTCGAATTCAGAATGTTCCCCAGCCAGCAGCTGCAGGCAACGGAGCAGGATCCGGAAGAGACACCAGCATGAGGCCACGGACTCCAGGAAGACCTGGGTCCTGAGCCCGGAGAGCCTTGGTGTGCCCGCCCCCCACCCCAGGGGTGGCAGCTCAGGAAGGGCCAGGTGGTCCTCCCAGGCCTGCTAGTGGCTGTAAGGCAGGCCCACCGGTCCCTTGGGACCTCCAGCCACTCCCTGGGGTTTTGCAAGCCCGCACTTACCGTGCTCAGCAGAGCATGGGACAGCTGCCTCGTGGGCCCAGAAGAAGTGGCTTCTCTGCTTAAGTGACAAAGGCCCAGCCCACGCTGCCTGCCAGGCTCTGCTGTGGCACCCCCTGCTGTGGTCCCGGACCCCACCAACCCCCAACGGCCGTCTGTGGAAGAAGGAAGCGAGAGTGCGGTTACTCAGGCAGGGCCACGTGACAGCCCACACCCCCTTGTTTGTGACAGCTTTGGTAACAACGTTGATCAAGATGGGGTGAGTAGCAAGACAGGGACCTGCTGGGCCTGACATCGCTCTTGGATTTCCGTAACCGTGAACACCAAGAACAAGCGGAAACCTTCTGGGGAGGAGCCCTGGGGTTGGGGGTAGGGCCCAAGCTGAGAAAGGCCACAGCATTACTCCAGGGGCAACGGAGAGTGGGGGTGAGAGGGGACCCCACCCTGGAAGGAAGGGAATGACCAGAGAAAAAAAGAGGATGGTTCTTACTTCTTGCTCAAGATGGGTGCTGGGGGCGGGGGAGGAGAAAACACAAAGCACAGACCTTCATGGATGTGCGAAGGTGACGTGTTTCTTCTTTCCAGATTCCAGCGTGATCTCTAGATGCACGGTACGTCCTTCCACTGCAGTCGAGGACCTCTCTGGGGAGCCAGGTTACGGATTCCACAAGGGCAGGACCAGCTAATTTCTCCATCCTAATGTGTGCATTTTGCCCACTCTGGCACCCAGGCTGGGTGCCCTGAGAGCCACAGGTCAGCAGTTCCAGCAAGTAAACGAGGCCACACACCATTGCGACACAGCGCGGTAAGTGTCACCCTGAGGTGAGCAAGGGAGGGGCCCCTAAACCTGCCCTGGGTGGGGGCGGGGGATGGTCGAGAGGATCTTCCAAGGAAAAGTGGCACTTTAGATGACAAGCAGAGGTGAGACACTGGGCATCCCAGGCAGAGAGCACAGCACGGGCAAAGGCTAGGAGGTCTGAGAACACCCAGGATGCTTTAGGAAGGCAAGAAATGTCTCCCAGGGTCTGCCCCGTGGAGTTACACAAGGCAGGGTCTCAGAACATTCCGAGAAGTTCATATCCTGCCTTGCACACAGGTTGGTTTTTTTGTTTTGTTTTGTTTTATTTGGGACAGAGTCTCACTCTGTTGGCCCAGGCTGGAGTGCAGTGGAGTGATCACAGCTCACTACAACCTCACACTCCTGGGCTCAAGCGATCCTTCTGCCTCAGCCTCCCAAGTAGCTGGGACTACAGGCGTGCACCACTGCACCCAGCTAATTTTTCTACTTTTTTTAGAGATGGGTCTTGCTCTTGCTCAGGCTGGTCTCGAACTCCTGCCCTCAAGTGATTCTCCTGATCCTCCTGCCTTGGCCTCCCAGAGTGCCAGGATTACAGGCATGAGCCACCGGGTGGGCCCAAACACATAGGTTGTTTTAAAATGAAAACCGGGACCAGGGGTGGTGGGCTCACACCTTTAGTCCCGGCTACTTGGGAGGCTGAGGCAGGAGGATCGCGTGAGCCCAGGAATTTGAGGCTGCAGTGAGCTATGATCACAGCACTGCACTGTAGCTGGGGCAATAGAGCAAGACCTGTCATTCATCCATTCATTCATAAATAAACACGTACATACGTACACACCAGAGACCCAGCCGGTGTTCGCCATGACGGAATCTCAATCACCTTAGGAAGCCACAACTGGAGGGGGCCAAAAACTCACCCCACCTGTACAAATAGGGAAGCTTGAGGCCCCAAAAAGGAAAGTGAGACCCTTCCAGCCCAGGTTTCCCACTCTTCCCCAGCGAGTTTGGAAATACCCAGCCCTCAGCAACAGGGGCTGAGGAACTCTGAGCGGACCCAAGTCGGGGCCGGAGGTCACTCTCTGATTAGCAGAAGTCAAGAGGCTGGCAAGGTGCCACCTTGTTTTGTACAGCTTACAAGCTGAGAATCTTTACGTTTTTAAATGGTTGAAAAATGTTTTGTGACACATGGAAGTTATGTGAAATTCAAGGTTCATTTTTTATAAATAAAGTTTTATCGGGACACAGCCACACTCACGGGTCTACACGTCGTCTATGGCACTTTCACTGTACAGCGGCAGCGTTGAAGAGCCGTCTCACCTGCGAAGCTTTGCAGTAAAAACGCTTAACATTACTGAGTCTGAACTCTATGCTAAAAATGGTGCTAACTGCTTTGCATTCATCACCTCAAATAATCTTCAGAGCAGTCTTTAGAGATGAGGAAACTGAGGCTTAGAGGGAGGACGTGCATTGCTCAAGGCCACATAAAGCGGCAGAGCCAGGACTCAAATCCAGGCAGACAGAGCAAAGCTCTCATCTTAACCCCCAGCCTGGGGTGGGGCAGGCGGAACAGTGAGCGCCAGCACACCAGCAAGCGCTATGTGTGAGGGCTAGAGAATACCTCAGCAGCAGCTAAGCTATTTCAAGGCAAGACTTGAACCGCTAAATTTCCTTTCCAGGGGAGCAAAGACTGCTGAGAGAATTCTGGTTCGTGTCATCTGTGTGGAGACCATAAAGCCACAACTCGCTGCACCTGACACCTGTGAGATCCAAGAATTCAAAGCAGATTTCTCTGTTTCTCGGAACAGAGCCCAGAAAAATACTCCAGATTGCCTTCAAAGACTAAAGCAACAGGGCTGGGCGCGGTGGCTCACGCCTGTCATCCTGGCACTCCGGGAGGCCGAGGCGGGAGGATCGCTCGAGGTCAGGAGTTCGAGACCAGCCTGAGCAAAAGCGAGACCTCGTCTCTACTAAAAATAGAAAAATTTGCCAGGCGCAGTGGCGCCTGCCTGTAGTCCCGGCTATTTGGGAGGCTGAGGCAGGAGGATCACTGGAGCCCAGAGTGTGAGGTTGCAGTGAGCTGTGATGACACCGCTGCACTCTATCCCAGGCAACAGAGTGAGATCCTGTCTCAAAAAAATAAATAAATAAAATAAAAAATTAAAGCAACGATATTTAAGAGAAATAGTGGGGCAAACACAGAAGTCCCATACTATGGAAAGTGGTCCTTGATGGGATATGCTGGCGTAGGCATCACAGTCAGATTTACGTTGGATGCTCATAAAGCACTCACCATCTGTTAGGCGGGAAAAGCGAGACACAGAACTCACATATAAACAGCATAATTTCAACTGTTCGGGTGCTCAGGGGAGAAACAGAAATGCTCACAGTGCCTACCTCTGGCTAGTGTGATTATGAATGCCCCTTTCCTTTTGGGTATCTTTTCCTTTTCTATATTTTTATTTAGAAAAATGTATATAATGATGTCTATATTAGCTTTATAATCAGAAAACACATTTCAAATGGGGCAAGGATTTCATAGACGCCTCGGATTTCAAGGTGGCTGGACTTATGTGGCTTTTGTCTGTCCCCCTTTATCTAGACTCGGTGGGGCACAGCTCCTCTCATGCCCCCACCCTGTGTTTCTCAGGGCTACCTGGAAAGGACCAGATCGTACTTTCAGCTTTGGGGATGTGTGACACTATTCAACGCTGTTGTTGTAGCAAGAAAGCAGCCACAGTCTGTATGTAAATGAACAGGGCGGTTCAAGACTACGGCACTGGCATTCTCGGTACAGTGCACGTGTACGAAGCCCTGACAAATGCCGGCACCTCCAGGATGAACCACTAACAGAGAAGACACCGTCCCTGCTCTCATAGGGCCTCTGAGTTAGTGGTCAGGTTGAAAGCCACGTGGCTAGATCGAAAACATAGGCTTGGGAATCAGAATTGGGTCCTAGCTGTGTGGCTGTGGGGATTGCACGTGGACTTTCTGAGCTTGCTTTGTCTGGGAAACAAAGCTTTGAATGTTTAATACGAAACAACGCAAGAAATCAGTAAAGGTCTGAGAGTAGGTTGGGCTGCAGGTGTGGGCATAGCCCAGCTGCTTCACCTCTGATTCCCTGAGCCCCTCTTCCTTGACATTTATGAGGTAAATTTGCTACAGGTCTTGGAGTGCCAGCCCTCTGTATACAAGGAGCAGAAGCTTCTTCCCTGCTCCGAGTACAGGAGCTGTCTCCCTATACGGGACTCAATGGCTCCCCATTGCTTTTAAAACAAAGACTCAAATCCCCACGATGGCTGGCAGTGCCTTCGCCCCCCTCTTCCCCTCCAGTCTCATCTCACTCACATGTCCTCTTCTCTGTTCTGGCTCCTTCTTTTAGTTCCTCTTATGTTTCCTCCTGCCACAGGACCTTTGCATGCACAGTTCCTTCTACCTGGAGCACTATTTAGGGCTCATTGCCCACGTCAGACCGCAGTTCATGTTCCACCTCCCCAGGAAAAGCTTTCCCTGACCACACCACCCCCACTTCATGATCTCAGAGCGCTGAGCCCCTCTCCTGCTTGATACATGTCTATCTCCTTGGAAGCTCCAGAAGGAAACTATGTCTGTTTTGTTCGCTGTTGCATCTCTTGGGCCAAGCACGGTACCTGGCACTGAGGAATAACTGCTGCTAACATTTATCAGGCTCTTTGCCATGCCAGGCACTGTCCTAGGTTCTTGTCATATACTAATTTGTCACAATTGCCTCGTGAAGTAGGTACTATTAGTATCCCTGTTTTATAGATGCAGGAAGGTTCAGAGAGGTTAAGTAACTCACGTAAGATCACACAGCTACTAAGTGGCAAAGCCAGTTTGAACTCAAGATGTTCAAAGGCAGCAGGGCAGGGTGCACAGCCTGCATTCAATCACAATAAATATTTTTTCAATAAATATCTAAATGATCCCGGCTCCTCCTTGCTGACCTTGTCTGCTGGGGTTGGTTTGAGAGAACGCAACGCTCCCTACCACCTCTCAACACGAGGCGAGCTGCTAGGGTGTGGAGCAGGAACGGCAATCAGCAAAGGCAATGGGGTTAGGTACCTCCCTATGCTGGAGCCTGCTAGTGGGCTAGCCTGGGAACCAAGGACTGTTTCCGGGTCTTCTGGGGAAAACGTGTTCCTGGGTGTTAACTGATTGCTGGTTACTGTTGGAACAGCCCCATTTTAAAGCAAAAAAGCATGGCTCATCGGGCCCCTACTTGGAGCTCTGTTACAAGTAGATACTGGACAACATAAAGATTTCATATTCAAACAAGCTACAACCTCCTTATACTTGGACACTCCTAAACGATCATCCGTGCACTAAATT